GGGGCAGGCCCGCCGCCACTCTCGCCAACAAAAATCCGAGGGGGAAAGCCCCGTCGGGCCCTCAACCCCTCGGTCTCCTCCGCGCCGCTTGCTGCTTTCGGGCCGACACCCGCCGGCCTCGATCCCCGAACCTCCATAGTAATAGTCCGATGCCGTAACCTTAAGGGCTAAGCCCAAGCCTGGGGCTGAGTCCCGCAGAATACCATATAGGCAGTATGGCGCGACGCTCTTGGGCCAACCAAACGGCTGCGCGGCTCCCATTTGCCCGCGCCGGTTTGCTTATACCATGCCATAACTACCCCGCGCACCATCCTACGACACCCCGCTTACCGCACGAAATCGCGCCATTATTGTCGATACCGTCGTTGGGGTCGTTTCTCCGCACACGCGCTTGACCTACTAATCAAAAAGAAAATATCCTTAATCCCTGCTTAATAAAAAAATAATAATATCACCAAACGAAACGACCGAGGTCCGGKTCGGCTTTACGATTAAATAACAGAAAMARAATCACGCRCGCCTTAAACCTGCGCGCCCACGCAYTCGCTATTGCGGTCAACCACCCAGTCAAAGCAATTACTGACRCAACCGTGCTTAGCGGGGTRTACTTAAACTTTAAAYCAAACAATKTTCTKTTAATTGCAARAMCCCAGGGCGGATACCCTTGTAAGGGTATTCGCACCGACAGCTTACCGGACCATATTAAGMGACGTCCCTGTCGCTTCGCCAAATCAGAAGACTATAAATCCATCCACACTCCAAATTCTGACGAGACAGGAGCCAATCCGATTAGCCGACAAACACAGGGTAGAGGCCTCCATCAAASCATGCCTTCATAACTATATGCTGCCAGGTTTYTAACCTGGGCCTCACACCGTCCARAAATTAGGACACTGGCAGCATAAGTTTCAAAAACCTTYCCAATCGTCCTCTCCCCGGTCCTMGACAACCTTYGGCTTTTCGTTGGGTGTCCCCAGTCCTGGCAAAACTAGGGACGCGGGCCTTAATCGARACCTTTTGAAGRCACTCTYGCCTTCCTTCTCAAAATTTTCTCGCAATCAAATAMACRCAAGTATATATGTATACTTAATATTCGCTYWGCTCTTTCTGCAGTCTAGTACARAAAGGCTAGGTCTCCACCTTGSCYCACCAWAGCCTRGCTGATCRGACCAGGACCACRGCCCACCGCATTGTTATTTAACGACAGTACCTTMGTTGGTTACRCAACGATAGGTTTYCTCCTGGTAARCACTCAATCAKGATCTCCCSCCRAAAATTTTCAACCATCATTATCCCGCGGAGTAATTTCACTGGGGYGGGCAACCCCCCCCYTWAAWYYYTWMYCCSKSGKYCC